CCGTGTCACTCGTATTCTTTCCAGGTGTGCAGGATGTGTGGAGAAGAAACTCCTACAGAAGGAGGAAGCACTTCGTCTTCCACAAAGGACCACAGAAAATCAAAAGCGAATCATTTTTGATAAATCGTATGTGCAAAGCTTAACAAAATGTGTGAAAAAGGATTATTATATATATATATATATTTCTATCACCGCTTGGTTGTTTTTTAATCTGTCTATTCCTTCTATCATATGAATGAAACTGGAGGCTTTCCACCTGTACATATGCAGTTGTTATGAATGATGCCCTCTGGCGCCAGACTCTTTCCTCTGTGCTCATGTTCTGCTGCGCCTCCTCTTTAAAGGGAATTGGAAATCAGCTCCACTAACTCACCCGTCCTGCTCCCTCAAACTAGGGAAGACAGAAAGAAAGCAGACAGAAGAGCAGAAAGGCAGACTTTCTTTCTTTTTTTCTTTCTTTTTTTTTTTTTTTTTTTAACTTGCTGACCTCAACTTTCTTCCAGTCACAACAGGACTGCTGGGATTTAAGACACATATGGCCAGCCTTTGTTTAGTGGGGTCTCCTTGCTCTCCTCCTCTCTTGAAGTTTTGAGTTTTACAGGAGTGAGCAGAGCTGGACAGAGGAAGGATGCTTTCCTGTGGCCCTCCACAGTCTGTGATCAGGGCGCTGAATTGGAAGCAATCATTTCCAGTTTCTCTATCAAAGCTCACACATCAATGCGGGGGATCCTTTTCCAAAATAACTGGTTTTATTCTGTCCCCAGATATTAAGTCCCCCTGCCTCAGTCTGGGTCTGATGAAAGCTTTCTATGGATAAAAGATGGTTGATTTTTTGCTGCTCATCGTGCTTCCTTATCTTCTAGCTCTGCTAATTAGACCCTTTAAAATGCTGATTAGTTCAATTAAAAATGAACATATGCATTTGTTTATTGCACTTAATTAAATGTAGTTTTGTTTTATCATGTGAGGAGGTAGAAGAACAACACAGACGTTTGTTGTTTTCCTTTGAGAGCATTTCTTTTCTCTTTTAATTAGCTTTTTTCTAATGCACTGTTCAAACAAGTGAGAGCAAAGCTGCTTTAGAAACCAGCCACCCATTTTTATTTTGCCCTCACTAGGATTTTAATTCTACAATGCGTTTAATCGATGTCTGGTTTATTTGTGTGCTAACAGCAGGCTGGGTTATCTAAAGTTTTGCACGTTGTCATTTCATATTTGCAGCGTGTGTTCCTGATGCATGAAATGTTTTATTTCATTACCATCACATTAGTTTCTGGTTTTTTTAGGGTAGAGTCTGGTAATCATTTATAACTCTTAAGCTTTTTCCTTAGTTTTTTTTTAAGCTGCTATTTTGGAGCCAAAAAAGGATTTACACTGTCACACTTTAAACAACACTGCGTAACTTTTGACATAAGTTTTAGCTTAAAGGTATAGAGGAGGAGGATCTTTTTCCGAGTGGATCATCTAAATAAGAAGAAAGACCTCGGACCAGGAATCGAACCCGGAACCTTCTTGCTGCAAGGCAGCAACTCACTGCACTTCGGAGCAGCCCCTGCTATCAGATTATTAATCGGAAATGCAAAAAAAATTTACAGATTAATGGATTTGCAAAATGATCATTAGTTGCACCCCAAGCATGATTACAGTGTTAAAGCAACTTAGGGTTTCAGAGCTTTTCCTGTTTTCTGCTAGTTTATTCCATATTAAAGGAGCATAGGAACTAAAATCTGCTTCTCTGTGTTTGTTTCTGGTTCTGCAGAGTAAATCAGATCCAACAGACCAGAGCGGTCCGGCTGTTGATCCACTGACAAATCTGCTTCCATCCCAACAGCATGATGCTGCTATCACCATAATGAAGTGAAGATGTGTTTTCAGGGTGACTACGTCTACATTTGCATGCCGGACAAAATGCTAATATGTGGTCTCAATGGCTAAAGCGTTATTTTTTAAGATGGTTGTGGCGATCAGTTCTTAATATGGATGCATTCTAACAATCAGCTGTACTTCAACTCCTTCTGAAAGCAATAGATTGTGTTTGATTTGATTTAGTATAGGAGTCAATTGGATTAACGGAAATGCGCAATAAACCACCAAAAATGATGATGAAATACATGGAAGTGAACTAAAAGTGTGCAAAGGAAACAAATAGTTCTGCAAATGAAACTAAACTAGTTTCCTCATCCCTCACACCGAGCATGCAAGCGGCGACAGTGGAGAAGAAAAACTCTCTCTTAACAGGAAGAATCCTCGAGCAGAACCAGAACCAGGCCCAGTGTGAGCGGCCTCCTGCTGAGAGGACAGAAGCAAACAGTCGAGAGGAACATTGATTGATGAAAGATTAGCATCATCGGGGAGAAGGGGAAGTTGGGGCTCTGCAAGTCATCAATGAGTCTTCTATATAATTAATAATCTAGACAGCATGGATTTATTGATATATAGGTTTAATTATCAGCGAATGTTTCATGAAAGTCGACTCTGCCTTTAGTGCTTTAGGTGAAAATACGGATGTTGTGCTCATTCTTTACTGTTCCCTGTTTGAACAGAGACCCTATAGTGTGCCAATGTCTGCTTAAGTCGTGTCATTCCCTTCGCTGTGGTAAGACCTGTAAGGAGTGCATTTTGTGTCATTATTGATGCAAGCAGAGAACATGTTTTTAAAAGAAAATTCAAAAGAAAAAGATTTTGGGGGGTAATTTTAAAACAATGCAATTCATAAAAGAAACTGAAAATCCTTGTAAAAACATATTTTGAGAGTAACTCTGCTGTTTTCTTTGATTTTATTTTTTATTTTTATTTTATTATTTTTTTTTAACTTTTTTTTCATTTTACAGACTTTGTAAAGTTTCAGATTTCCCTTTTATAGACTGAGGTTTACAAAGTGCTTGCTTTATAAATTTCATAAAAGGACCTATTGACTAAAGAGTGAATTTAGTTCCATTATTGCTAGGATTAAAAAACCCTTTTGAAAATGGGAGATTGAAGAGAAAGAATACAATCCGCAAATAAAAAAAATAAAAAAACGTAATAAAAATAAGGTTTTACGATTAACTTTTTAACTTTAACACTCATTAAAAAAAGTAGTTTTTTTGAAACAGATTTTATAACCTTTTTTTTTTTAAATCACATTCTTAACTGCTATCTTACAGATCAAATTTGCTTCACTTTAAACCAAATACAAACGTTCATCCTTAATTCGCATTTTCACCAAAAAGACGGTCAAGCAGACCAATAGAAAATCATCTTTTCAATGCCAGTGGTGTCAAAAGTAAACACATTTTTTACTTACCGGTAAGTAAAGTTGAAGTATCAACTTGACCTCTTTACTCAAGTAAAAGTGAAAAAGTATGTGTTCGGAAAAACTACTTAAAGTATAAAGCATAACGTAACCTTTAAAAACAAAACAGCCAGATGCCACTATATGGATTGAAAGCTCAATTTTTAAACTATTTCGAAAAGTTCTTTGATATAGGGCGAAGGATGAGGGAGGTCTTGTTGGTCTCCGTCTCCCGATACGCTCTCGCCTGTGTCCGACCATTCAGACATTTCAACATCTTTTTCTGAGTTCAATATTGTAGCATGGCATCAGACATGGGCAATGTGGAGTCAACAAGTCATCTCCATGTCATGTATTTGTTCTACCCAGCCACTGAAGCAGGTGAGTCCAATCTTCACCGTGAATTAACCTGTGCAGATTGGACTCACCTGGTTAATTGGCTGGGTAGATTAAATACATGACATGGAGATGACTTGTTGACTCCACATTGCCCATGTCTGCATGGCATAGACGATTCACGATTGCAGTTTGAAGAACACCTGCTTGCTTCTGATGATTTCCTTTAGCTAACCAATGAGTGTTTGCGTTCTATGACTCATCCAATTACACTAGTTTTCACTAGATCTGGATGGAGCCAATGATCTGCATTGGATGGAGCACATGACGTGAAATAAATATTTCTAAACATTAAACCGAAGCCAAGAGTAACGTTTGTTTTAAACATGTAAGGAATAGAAAGTACAGATACTTGTGTGAAAATGTAATGAGTAGAAGTCAGAAGTAGGAAGAAAAATAAGTAATGGAGTAAAGATGACTAAAAAGTGTACTTAAGTACAGTTACAAAGTATTTTTACTTTGTTACTTGACACCTCTGTTCAATGTAGATGAAGTGTGCTGCTAGTGCTTCAGGAGCTGGAGGCAGTAGTAGCAGCTCAACAACAACTGATGGGGTGAAGCCCCGGCAACAGGCCCCTAATGTTCCAGCATCTTCCACCAGGATAAAAATCCCATTTGGATGCTAAGATCCTATCCAGATCCGTCTGACATCACTAATGCCAAGCAAACATGACATACATTCCATAACTAGATATAGTGACTTAATATCACAATGTTTGTTTGTTTTTTTATTACTGCTGCTTACCTCATCAAGGCTGCACTTTAAAAAAATGAAATTGTCTTAGCTGTTCTAAGAAAAAAGATCCTTTTTTTTATACTTGTGTATACAAAATGACAAAATAAATCTAAGTCTAAGAAAGCTCCCCAGAAGTGAACATGAACTCTGTGAAAATACAAATTTGAAAGTAAAATGCACACTTTAATTTGAGAAATTATTGATTTAAAAAAAATAAGTTGAAAAAATAAAATCAGAAAGAGAACAGCAAATTTACTCCCAAAAAACTTGGACTGCATTTTTTAATTTATTTTTTGTACAGATGGCATTTACTTGCAGCAATAATGGATCAAAATTCACCCCATAGCCCTGCAGGGTTCATTTTATTCTACACTTCAATTAATTTTTTTTTTTTTTTAAAGATGCATAATCTCAAACACCCTTGCAGCCACCAAAGCAACCTTAACCTCCTGTCTGATTAAAACGAGCATAACTTTCATGTCCTGAATAAACCTGAACACACCATCCCACATGGCTTTAACCTTGCTTTTCAAGCAGCATTTCAACACAGGTTTCCATCGCTGCTGCAGATCAGAAGACAATCTCAGCTAAACGGTTTAGAGGACCACTAATTAAATCATCATCTGAAGGTGCTTTTCTCTGTTTTACCACTAGGGGGCCCTTTCCACAGAACAATGCTTGCAGGAGTGTGCCTTATTAAACTGAAAGTGGAGCTAGAGCCAATATTCACACCTCAAACCTTTACGGAGCCTCATTGTCTGCTCTTAGCGTCTGCTGCTGCTGGAAAAACCAAACTTTAAAAAGTTAAGCTCTGCTGTTTAAATGAAATAGAGGAGAAAAGTAATTTGGACTCGACTTTTCATCCTGTAGTTCAACCATCAGGTGGTTTTCATGCTCTGTCCTGCCATTACTACAGATGACGTGGAATCTCCAATAACACCATCCTCCACACCAAGAGGGGGGAAAAAGGCGAGCAGCCGTACAGAAGACATAATTACACACTGCTGAGATGCAGAAAATGAAAGCAGAGAAGAGGGAACAGCTGCATCTAGTGGAGTAAAATCAATTTCCAAGCTCTGAGGGAGTCCAAGACGCTGCGCACACGGGGGGTTCTGGTCCCCTTGTTCTCCTGATAGCACAGTGCAGAGGGACAAAAACAACAAAGACTGTACAAAGAACAGGAAACGTACAAATTTAAAGTCAGCGGGATGGGCTGCTTGATGTGTTCAAGTGCCGCCAAATCGTTTACAGTTTAATTTAAAAGATAACCTGTTCAATAAAACCTTTTACACATGTTCAAAATGAGATACATGTTTTTTAGAGCAAATATATGGTTTTCATGACCTAATCAATGGGAAGATGACTGCTGGAAAATTAAAGGAGCAGGCTGATTACAGAACATTGGTGAAAAGTTGATTAGATGGAGAGACGGTAGGTGTAAAAGGATAATTAAACAAGAAATTGGTTTAACAACATCACTGTTTTATTGTCCAGTAAAATGGACAGACTATAACCTGGAGAGGAGGAGGGACATCAGAGCGACCTGGACTTTAACACCTCAGCCTTTAACCTTTCACCGATTTCCTAATTCATCGATACACATCCCTAATTCCCCGTTTAGAAAACAGTAAAACTGTCGTTTTATCTCTCAGCTGCTTTATTGTCACTGAAAGCAACAGTTCTGCTAATAATTGTCAGTATACTAAACATACAGGAATAATCCCACCAGCCGGCGTCGTCATAGTGAAGCTCGTCTAGACTAATCCCGTTATCAAACTTCCAAGGCTGCCATTTCTGACCCTGTAGGGCTCCAAATCAAAAGCAGATATCCTTTCCTCACATAAGGTGTTTTAACATATAAAAAAAACAAAATAACTGTAATTATTTAACTTTAAGATGAAATAGACAAGTACAGAGTTATGGATTTATACAGAGTCCTTTTTCTGTGATGTAATGTGGTTATTATTTAACACTTATAAACTGGTATCAAACTCCAGGGGATGGTTAATGTTGATGGAGGGGAGTGAAATGGGGGGGGGGGTCCCCCTGGAGGTCTAGCTGGTCTCTGACGCTGGAACTGACGGCTTGGCCTCTTCTGCCACAGAAGGACCGTCTCCTCCGTATTTGTTCTTCACTGAACGTCCCAAAAACTGCCAGTACTCCTTACGGATGGTGTCCTTCTCCTGGGCGAGAAGCTCACAGATCTTTAGGAGGTGAATTCAAAACAAGAAGGAAATAAAAAGATTAATCAGAGCTTTAGTTAAGTTAATATTGGAAAAGTGAAATAAAGGTCTCCTGGTTTTTCTCACCTCTAACGCCTTCTTTAACGTCTCTTTTTGTTCCTGTTCCGTATTTTCCTTTTGGCTGCTGAACTCTAAAGCGTCTTCATAACAGTCGAACAGGAAGGCGAGGAGATACGGGGAGCAGTGGGTCTCCTTCAGCTCCAGGACCTTTTCCAGCAGACCCGGCTGAGATGAGAGGCCTCTATCTTGCAGCATCCTTTAGGGGACGAAAGAAGGAAAATAGAAGAATATCCTCTTCATTTTTAATAACTAAATCACAACTTTCTCTAAAGTCCCTGTGGCTTCCCACTCACACAGAGACGGGACGCTAAAATATTCTTTTCCACCAGATTGAAAGGGACCTAAATCAATCTTGGAGAAAAAGCTCAAATGGATGGTGGCTCTCAGGTTTGCAGGAATATAAAACCCCAGCACGGCGTTATGCAGGTCTTACCCTTTCAAATAATTCCACGCGCTCTCGTTGTGAGGAGCCTTCCTGATCTGGTTCAGACAGTACCTTTCACAAAGAGAAAAGAAAAACATTAAAATGAATGACGCTGAAATATTCATACGCTGCAGCACAAACAGAAACAATCCATGGATTATTTCTAAGTAAATACTGAAGATTTCTGTTTGATTTTTTTCTCCTTAATCTATGAGCCCATGTAGAAATGTTTCAGAACAACAATGCTTAGAAAAAAAGTATTCACACCGCCTCAATCGTTCTCGGACGTTTCAACCTGTGACCCCAACGCAGCAGGCTGAAAATAAAAACTTTACTGGATCTATAATTAGTCATAATATCTTTTTGTTAATGCATTTAGACATCCAGGCAGAAGGTTTAACAAGGTAAAGTTTGAGGAACACAGTTTGCATTGAGCTTTAAGCCTTGAACAAGTACATTAATTAATATATAGATTTTACCCATTTTAAAAGAATTAATACAAATTAACTTTTTTTATTTTTTATTAATAACATTGACAGTAGGAAACTTTGTATTTGGCTGAAGCACAAGCAGCAGCGTTGGCCCACTGTCATTGGCATGCTCATCATTTGAAGGGCAGCGTCTCCTCACCACTGCAGAGCAGGGGTCGGCAACCCGCGGCTCGTTAATGGCCCCCCTTCGGCTCCCTGGAGCTTTTTCAAAAAAGTTATGAAAATGGAAAAAGATTTTTGTTTGTTTGTTTTACTGCAGGAGGTCCAACAAATATTCATTATGTTTTCCAATGCTTTCCAAACTTGTATAATAAATTTAAACAAATACATTTTTTACATTTCTGTCAGGGAAGATTTGAGTCATAGCCTGCAACACACATTTCAGCGCAGCACAGTGCCAGGCAGGTGGCTGTTTAAACAAAGTGGCAGGTGTGTCTTCGGCCTTGGATCCCAAAGGGAGAAAAAGGAAGTTGGATGAGAGGATGGAAAGAAGAATGGACCAAATCATTTGCTTCCATTATCAATGCAGGAAGATTGCCTGCATGTTTGCTTTGTAATGTACGACGGAGTATTAGAGGCCAGGTTAGAGATTTTTATTTTTTATTTTTGAGAGAGAAAAAAGTCGGAACGTTAGGAGAATTAAGTTGGAATGTTAGGAGAATCAGAATCAGGTTTATTGCCATTGTTAGTGAAGGAGTTCACAAACTAGGATTTTCTTGTGGTACAATCGTGCAACATGAAACATGTAACATGGAGTAGGTAAATAAAATTATAAAAATATCTAGAACACTGTGGGTATAAGACGTGCAATAAAATAGACTAATATATACACTTAAGATAAAAATATGGATATAAAATATAAAAAGTAAAATAGCATCTTAAGTATAAAGTCGTAACATTACCAGAATAAAGTCGTAACATTAGGAGAATAAATGTCTGCATATCCGGTGTTAAAAAAAAAAAAAGTAACCGATTCAATCTGATGCTTAAATAACCTAAAAAAAATTGTGGTGGGTATAGATTCATTTTTTAAACTGGATTAATCTCACAGTAATCTTAGAATTAATCTAGATTAAAATCGCTCATTTTAATTCTGCCAAAGGAATTCATGATGTGTGTGCTGCCTCCAGAACTTCAAAGATAAGGTTTGTTTTTATATGTCTGCATAACCCATGTAATTTAGTCTTCTTAAGATTTTGACAAAGTTATACATACTTTCTGCTCATTACTTTTATTGCTGCAAAAAATAGTGTCCTATTTCCAATTATAGATGTCCCACTTTAACAATACAGTGTCTCCAAAAATCTGACACACGTCGCCTCGATCAACTTCTCATCTTTTGCAGCTTTCTACGCGGCGTGCTGGTCGTGTATTTTCCTCATGGTAGTTTTCCTCGCAGGTATTTTGTAAGATGGGTCACCTGTGGTCGCCTGCAGAGCGAGCTTGTGTGGCGATCCACTGAGCGAGGAGATTGGTTAGCTCGGCTGATAGAGCTGTGCTTAAAGCTGCATCCATGTCACCTCGCTACGTTAAATGTGGTCATTTCCCAGTACGCTTACACAGGTTGGAAGATTGATTTGTTCTCGCATCCGCATACACACATACATCATTCCACGCTAAAGTATCAAAATGAAAGTCATCATTAGTAAAGACCCAGATCCCAACCCAACTGTGAGAATAGATTAACGGCGATAATTTTTTATCGCCCCATAAGAGTCTGGCATTAAGACAGTGCGTTAATGCCGATAACGACCCACCACTAAAAAATATATACCGTATTTTCACGACTATAAGGCGCACCTATACGTCTTTTTTTTTCCCTCAAAATGTGGGGTGCGCCCTATGGTGCGGTGCGCCCTATCTGCGGACGTTGTTGAGACCACCATGAGTATGTGAGAACCTTAAAGGGGGAAGTGTGGGCGTGGCTTGTGTATAAAAGAACAGGTATGTGCT